TCATTATAAAACTCATTTTCTAAAATCTCCTTTATTTCCCTTATCACATTGTTTTAATCTCATCTAAACCTTTCTTAAGCTTCCATAATCTACAAAGCTTCAATAACCAACCAAAAACGAAGAAATAACTTAGTAAATTAAAAACTTACCTTTGAGCTATTGAGGGACTTGTTACGGGGGAAATAGGAAGGAGAGAAAGAAGACTTTTTGTATCCTCTAATATCCTTTTCCCTTTTTTATTTAATACCAATTTAGAAGACATTTTAAATTCTTTTTTATTTAAAGGACCAAAATGCCCTCTTAATAATCCATTGTCACAATTTAGTCTAAATCATTAATCCTAATCCTTCTCATCTTTCATTATTTAATAAAATAAATCCTCATATTTTTTAATCATTTCAATATAGTCCCTAAATCAGTATTTGGGGCATTACACCTAATTTCCCCCAATGGCTGAATATCACAATGATCATAAGACTAGTTTTTCATTCAATTTCAAGCATGAATTCAACTTCCTTACTTCAAATTCATGATATTCTTATCAACACAACATCAAATTGAACCAAAATCCAATCAACCACCAAAACCCTAATTAGGTTAAATGCTTTAAATCATTCTACACTTGATTTTAAACATCATATATGCTTGAAAATTAATCTCCGACATCAAAAACATAATAATCTTTCATTAATTCTTCAAACTCCAAAAACTCTATATAAACACTAACCTTCAATCTCAACATATAAGCATCTTCACTATGAAATATTGGTACCAAATAATAGACAATTTCATTTAAATTAATTCTCTAATTCATAACTTAGTCCAAAAATCAATCATGTAAGCTCAAAAATCAATCATGTAAGCTTAAAAATCAAAAATAAAATGTTTAACTTGGAGAAATGGTGGTTTTGGCCAAGATTGAAGAAAGAGCTGATTTTTTGTTTATTTTATTTTTTTAATCTAGTATTTATTAACCTTGACATGTGGCACTTTAATAATATAATTGAATTTAAAATTCAATTAATGAAAAAATCCCAAAATTGCCATTAATGAAACTTGATAATTAACAAATTTCATTACATTATCTTCCATTAAAATATTCCTTAGTCAAAGATGGATCAACTTGACTTTGAATTTTTACTTTGTCCATGCAATTTTCAAAAATTGAACTTTAGTCACTAAAATTCCACTATTCAACTAAATCTGAAAAATTACACTGTTCTGAGCCAAATTTCTTTGATCTAAAATATGGAAATAATATTTCCAACCATTTTATAACATACTTCAAAATTTCATAAAATTCCAATTCGATCCGATTATCCGATTTTAATACCGAACTTTATCGCTTTATAGCTTTTAACACAAATCTTGTACCGAAAATATGATTCGAGCAAACTCCTTGATTTAGGCCAAACTGTTTATTTACTGGCTAAAATCTACAACTTTTTAAAATTTATTTTTGATCCCTAAACTTTTACAAAGTTTATACTTTAACCCTTAAACTTTCAAAACTTACATTTTGGTCACTACTTAAAATTTGGGGTATTACATCCCAATACGTGCAACCGAATTTGAAACAAAACCAAGGGGAGCATCATGCATCAACATCCATAAGTCGGCATGATTATAATCCACTTTCAGTGGGTTCTCACCTTCCTTAAGTCGATGCAGGATCAACATATGGTTATTGAAATTCCATGGGCCTCCTGCTTTCTATCCATATCAACTTCATGATAGAGTCTGAAAAGGAATCTCCCATCTCCAATATCAGTTATGGATATGCCTTCAAGGGGACGCACCCACAAAATAGTTTGTAAAAGATATCCCAAGATCTGTTTTTAGGGGTTTAACAGTGACCACTTCATCCTCTTCATCTTCTAAGTTGAGGTCTACCAGATTCATTTGTAGAGTTGGATCCATATGAAGAAGTTCAGACAAGTACAAGCAAATTTAGACAAAAAAATGAAAAGTGTGTCACAAGACAAAAAAACGTGCTACAAGAGCATAACAGATCGTGTCACAAGACAGAGATATGAAGTTTTTTTCCAAAATAATTCTCGAAGCATTTTAAAATATAACAATCTATCAGTTTCTAATAATTTTTATAAAGAATGTTTCTATAATTTTATTTTTGTTTTAATTTTTTTATTTAACTGTAAATAATATAATTGAAATTATTTAAATTGTTTATTCTAAGAAAGTATGTTACAACTATTTTTCTATTTTTTAGATTAATTTAACTATTAAATCAAAAATAAAATATGCAAAGATCAATCGAGAAGAGAGTAGGTAGAGGACAGTCCTCCCCTATAATTGTCAAATTCTCTTCTATTCTTTTGTTTTTTATAATATTTTTTATTAATAATCTATTTTTGTACATAAACTTTATAAAATCATCCTTTAAAATAACATTTTGAATCTGTCCCTTAATACATCTGTTATCTTCTTTAACCTTCCATTTATTTCCTTTCCTACCATTTATTTGAGTTATGTCTTCAGTAATGATATATATATATTTTATGATATAAATCAATTTTTTTTAATTAAATAGAAAGATATTATATTTTAAGATGAATAACAAAATTCAAATTTATATAAGATAAAACAATATAAATATCTTTAATCAGTCAATCAATTAATGGATCTCTACTCAAATAAATCGCTACTCAAATAAATCAATTTTTAATCATTTGACTCGGTTCTCTTTTTATCTCACTTAATTCTTAGAATTTAACCAAAAGAATTAATTATTTTAATAATGTAATACTCTAAAATTATATCACATCGCTAAAATAATAAAAAAATCAAATTCAATAATTTATGTGGACAAAAACTCTCATAGATGATCTAGTGGCTGAGAGTCAATTTATAATACTCGAAGTCCCGCCGACTTCATCTGGAAAAAAAAAAGTTGCAGAAATAACATGTAAATTATCAAGAAGTGTCACCCTTGCATCTTTTGGTACCTTACCCTTCTTTCTTTTCTTCAAGAATTCTTTCCTCAAACTGCTCATATAGCCACTATACTTGTGCATAAGCATTCCTTTAACTCCTCGCTTTGACAGTCATCCAGAGATTCCTGATTTTTTGAAGCTTCAACTTCCCCACCATAATTTAACTCTTACTTCGAAGTCCCACCAGTTTCATTTGGAAAATGTTGCATAAATAATATGTAAATTGCTTGAAGAAGAAGAAGACGCGTGATTTTTTTTTTTTAAATATCAACTCAGATTTTTATGGATTTTTTTATTTTTTAATTGTCAACTCATACTCGGGTTAATAGGAGTTAACAACTGAGGAACTAAAATCGAACGAATTATTAATATAAGGACCAAAACTGCTCTTTTCTTAAATCAGTGACCAAAATCGGATGGACTAAAAACATAAGAGATTATCCTTATAGTTTATCCTTATTTATAATAGACTTAATGGATCATTTTGCCCCTAAAATAAATTCAAATTAATAATCTTGTTCCAGCTTTTTAGTTTCGACTTTTAGTTTCAAAAGCTATTATCATAGAACAATCTTCATTAGACAACAAGGTTTTGTTGCACCAATAATTCGATACTACACTAAAAGTTTTTTGTTGCACCAATCAAGATGTTGAACTATCTCTCGTATTTGATGCGACGTTCATTGTCTTCCTTCAAAATCGTCTACTATGATTGTTAAATCTGAAACCTCAATTTCTATGTGATTTTCAGGGAAAAAGATTTTCATATCTTCGTGAAGAGTCTTCTAATTCTCGACCCAACTAACATCTAACTCTATGAGAACATCTCGGTCATGATGCCTTTGAATCCCTTTTTTAATCGGTTCACTTCCTTTGTAGATCATCAAAACATTGTCGGACATATAAATTTAATTATTTAGTTGAACAACCCTCGTTTGATTATGAAACTTTATAATATTAGTGATCACTTGTGAACTAACATCTTTATGTCCATAAAGATACAAAATGCAGGAAAGAAACAAAAAAGAATGGATTAATAAAACAATATAATAAACAAAATAATAATAACTAATGTTAAATGATAAAGCATACTCACACATATTGTTTACCTAAATATGGTTTATTAAAATAAATCTTGTTTAAATATGTTTTCTTTCCCACATGATTTTATTCGAAAAGTAAATCATATTGACATATTTTCTAGTTCACATACTTTTATTCGAAAGATAAATTGTATCTATAAATTTAAAACAAAAACCAAACATTAAGAGTTGTTTCTCCTTTGTATACTTTTTTAGGTACCACTAATGGATAAAGTTTTAATATAGCTTTAATCGAGTGGACTCTTACAACTTATTATATGAGATTTTGATTCTAAGAAGGTACATGAATTTTATCCATCGTCTCTTACTAAGGATAGTAAGACCATCGTTCCTCACTTAATACTATAGGCTTGTGTAGATCAAGTTCAACTTTGGAGAATACATTTCTCTATACCTACAATTTTCACAAATACGTCTCTTTCACCCATACTAAATAGGAATAGAACTCGAGTAGAAAACTCATGATATAAAAATGTACGTGTATAATATGTGAAGAGAAACTCATAAATCTTTTGAAAAGAAAAGGAAAAAATAAATGTTCTTTCCCGAAACTTTTCACACATTTGAAAATAATATAAATTACAAAATTTATAAATTTGTCATCATTGCATGGTTGAGAAACTTATGAGATAATATGATTTTTTTTCCTAAAAACAATATAAATTAGCCAAAGACTAATACAATATTTATATTAAATGATAGGTTTTTAAAATTTCAAGAGATGAACATATAAAATTTGAATTCAACCCGCCTCATATAGGTATCAACAAACTGATAGAAATAAACGTTATTTAGGATAAATTATATCACTGTTCGATAAGAATCTACACCTTCAGATTACACCTCAATAGTGGGTGGTGGTGTTGTTTTTTTTTTCTGGACTATACTCGTACAAACAAACATATCCCAATATTGGGTTTTGAGGCAAGCTTCGTTTTAGAACATGTAAAAAAGAATCTAATTGAAGTTTGATGAAGGGCTCCATCTTTCTTTTAAATATTCCTCCAATGAAATGTTACTTCTTTGCTCAGTGCTACTAAATGATGTCGAATCATCCTCAACATCAAGCATTGCAAGGCTTAAATGTAAATCTGCCCTTGAATTTTGATCAACTTCATCATCATCCGTGTCATATTCTTGGCTTTCTTTGTTCTCATCTTGTGCCAAGGAACATTTTTCAGTGGCTTTATCCCCTCTTAAGAGCTCCAGTACCTAAAGAAATCATGCAAATTATAAATGAAGTTCAAGCCTGTTCAAAGGCGTTTCAGCGAGATATAGAAAAGCTTGATTACGTCGTTCATCTTCGGCCGGAGTTGAGCTGTTCGTTTGATGCAGAGAGTTGCTACTATAACCATTCTATGCATCTGAGCCGCATTGATGTTTTCATTCAAATCAGAGTCCAGTATGCCTTTCACATCTCCACTCTCTATCATTGGCTTTGCCTGAAATTTAACAACTTTCAGCATGATTGATGTGCATCTCAACAATTGAAAGATCATTGTTTCAGAGAAAGACTCTTACCCACATGACCAAACTCTGCTGGCCCTCGTGATTCCCGAAGCTTATCGGTCTTTTTCCTGACAATAATTCAAGTAGAATGATTCCGAAAGCATAGACATCGATCTTGTCACTAAGCTTGCCATGCATAAAGTAATCGGGAGCTAAATACCCGAATGTTCCAGCAACATCAGCTCGAGTTAGAAATGATGATGCAGTTGGTCCCCATGTTGCTAGTCCAAAGTCAGATAACTGTCATAGTGATTCAACTTTGTGACATTTTTTATCTTCAACCAAATATTATTTCAGTAAACACCATTTCAATTATCTTTGCTTCAAATTCATCTGAAAGAATAATATTTGAAGACTTGACATCTCTATGAATAACAGGTCGAGAATGCTCATTATGTAGGCAATTTAAACCTTCAGCAATTGCAACAGCCACGTTATACCTCACCTCCCATGGCAAGGGATGTTTATCTTTGCTCTTCCCTATTATATATACGTACATGTTAGCTTGCATTAGTATGGTTGAAAACATCTTTTACCAAACAAACGAAAACAACGGAAGCTTTACCATGCAGAATTTCTGCTAAGCTTCCTTTAGATGAGAATTCATAGACCGATATTAGATCATAATCTTTAACGCATACACCAACTAGAGGCCCTTTGTTTTTATGCTTCAGTGAGGAGATTATTTCGATTTCATTTGCAAAATCCTTATTTGCATCTTTTGATGACTTCAGAATCTTATCAGCAACTGCGTTGTGACAACTGTCGTTTTCGATGTCAAAATAATTCTTTTTTTCTCAATTAATCAATAAGGAAATGCGTAGTATAGAGAAATAAGGGTTGAATCCTCAGGAACTTAGAAAATCACAAATTTATGTTTGAATGGTTCTAGCCAGGCGTGAATAGAAAAAGGGGTTTGGTAAAATGAAATTAAAATGGTAAAAATAAATAAAAGCAATTTAAATCAAAAAATAAGAGAATAAAGTTTGTGAATAAATACTGTAAAAATAGCCTCAAGCCTTGCTTTGACTCAATTTCATTTAGATCATCGAATAAGATTTTCCCTCCGGGATTCTCGTCGGTTACTTTGTCTACAAGGGCTATCCCCGTGACTCTATCTTGTATACCGAATATCCAAGGTAATCTTTGATTCCGGCTTCGGTAATTGATTCTAACAACATCAATTGTCGTAGATCAATTACCGTTTAAGTTTGTGGAGTCCGACTCGGATTGTTGCTTCAATAACCGCCAATTCCGATCTCAATTCCCTCTTGGCGAAGCCATCTCGCCAAATGTGTTCCCATGAAGTCGAATTGTTTTCTATAAGCCAAATCTTCGTCCCACACATTTAATCGCAACAACCTCTTGACCAAAGTTCATCTTTGATTTTGAAAACTGTTTTGATTTTGAAAAATAAGCGCAGAGATTGAGAGAGAAATTCCGAAGATATTAAGGGCATGTTTCAATTCTCCCGATGGAATTGAGTCATCGCGACAGCTCTCGACTTATGAAAGTTTAGCTAAGCATGACTGTTAGCATTTTGAAAACAAAGCTTGAAAAATAAAAGAAAAATGAAAAGAACTTGAAAAGTAAAAAGAGAAAGTTTTTATAAAAACCAGAGAGAAAAGAATATTGTAATCCGAATGATGAGTTTAGGTTTACCCCAAGTGGGTATTTATAGCCTCTCAAAGCCTAAAGGATAAACAAAGAAAATAAATAAAATAATCCTAAAGATAATTGTTTTTTTAATTTAAATTCAAACTTAAACTAGTCTCCTAATGCAACTCTGCTCGTCAATCTTCTAGAAGGCGTGCGGAGGAAGTCTTCTAGAAGTCGTTGCTGACTGGACCTTCTAAAAACTGCCACGTCAGACCGCGTCATGCCCAGAGTCGTGCCCATGTCTCCAACCGTGACCAAATAATAAAAAAAATGCAGAATGCGCCCGTTTTGTCACTAATTCTGGAAAGTAAGGACCTGCACGAAAACAAACATAACACGACCAATTTAGCAGTAATAATTCTACAAAACCGAAGAAATAACAAGCAAAGATTGACGATTCTGAACACTCGTCAAATTCCCCCTCACTTATCTCATGTTTGTCCTCAAGTATGATATAATCAAATAAGTCAAACACTTCATTAAACGTTCTTTTGTCAAGTTTCACATTCAAGGAAGCAAGGTAGAGACCACAATAACTATTCAAGTTAAGAAATCAATCAATTGAACATCATCAATTGGAACAAGTCAAGTGAAATTGTAATATCCATTCATTAATTAATCTCAATGTTCATAAACCAACGTCTTACCGGGATTCACTCAAATCACTCAATGTGTTTGGGGTAAAGAAACGCTCAATGTCAGAATTGACACGATATTGCCATAGGCCTGCATGTAAATCAAATCTTCACTACTAATAAGAACAAGATGCATAAATCAAAGGGTCTTTTATTGGTTGTAATGAGACTTAGGTAAAGGTGGGGAAAAGGCTAAATATACGGCTAAATATTCAAGGCAATGAACTAACAAATAATAATTTCAACTCCATCAAAACATTAAGCACAACAAGATAAAAAAACAAATTGTCAAACAACAAAATTCTTTTCGAAATGCATTTGATTTTTTTTTCTTTTTCACACTTTTGTTGTTTTGTTTTCCATTTTTTTCATGTCTTTTTTCTTTTTTTTCGAACAACATTTTTTTCTGTTTCGAACTGCTGTTTTTTTATAGAGCATACAATGGATTAACTATTCACTTGCCCTGAAATAAGTAGAAAATAGGGATAAAATAAAAAAAACTTGGGTTTATAAACGTGGTGAAAACAAAGAAGCGGGAATAAGCTCAAAAGTGGTTAACTAGGGGAAAATGCATGGGTAGGCAATTTATTAGGGAAACAAAATGGTTAATCCTAAGGTGCCCAAATCATTTTTATGCATCATGTTCATGTGTAATCTCGACAGTATTTAACATGCAGGTTCTAGAATAACAATGCCAAATTCGACACACTCAGTCCAACAAAATGAGAGCGAAAATGATATGCTCGTAAAGGCTCAAATCTTACCAAATTGTATCATGCATTGAGCTAATCATATTTCAACTAACAAAATCATAGAACATCACAAAAGTACCAACTTGATCACAATTCATGCTATTCGCTATCAAGAACATCCTAACCTAAACAATCATGTGTTCCCAAACAAACATAACATTCCAAAAATATTCAACAAGACAAAGAAATTCAATGAAATTTCTACAAATTCAACGAACACATACTAGAATCGAGATATAAAGATAAGCAAAAGGGAAATTTCATCTACACTCTACTCCCCCTCACTTAAATCATTTTGCCTCAAAATGTAAAATTAAAGTACTAGAGAAGGAATAGAGTACTCCCCGGTTTTAATGTCGACCACGGCCATGGCCTTTGCTGCAGTGAAAGGCGCTAGGACGGTGAAGTAGGATGCCCGGTTTGATGCCATGAAATAGAAACATTATCAAGTGGTGTCGTCAGTGGAAAACCATCATCTAAATCTCCTGTAAAACCATAAACGAGATAGTACATTAGTAATGGATTAACAAAAATAGAACTGAATTTACCTTAGGAGTATTTCGGATGCTGTCGAATGCATCGAACATGATGGAAAGCCCAATAGGCGTTATCGAGAGGAAGAGGTGGCCATAGTTGGCATGGACTAGAATGACGGAGATGACGAGATCAGCGAAGAGGAACAGCGAACAGTTCTCGGTCCGGGGTCGAGGAGCATTGGTGTTGTCTGGTCGGATTCATGTGTGCACCATCGTGGAGTAGAGAGAAGCAGATGGTATGGAAACTCGTTAGCGAAGGCGTAGGGGTTCTGTGATGCCGCCGGCTGTGAGGAGAAGAAGGGGTGATGGGTTCATACGTTGGGAGGGGAAGAGAGTTCTGTTATAGAGAAGATGAAGGGAAGAATTTTGCTTGAATTGGGTTTAATTTGGTACTGCTGTGCTTAGAAAGGGACGACCGAGAAGGATTTCAGAACCAATGTGGCTACGATCATTTTATATATCAATCACATAAAAATCAGCAGGGAAAATTAAATCTTCTACCTCTACTAGAACATTTTCTATGAGTCCTTCAGGATAAATAATTGATTTGTCGGCTAGCTGAAGTGTAACTCTCGTCTCCTTCAAAGGCTCGGTGGAAATTAAATTATAGACGGAGAGAAGCATTACATTGATAGAGGCACCTAGATCTCACATAGCTCGCTTGATTTTAACCTCACCAATTTTACAAGGTACTGAAAACATACATTGGTCTTTATACTTTGGTGGAAGTGGTCGTTGGAAAACTGCTGAGACTTTCGCACCTAAATCCACCTTCTCATTTCTGGTAAGTTACCTTTTATTAGTGCAGAGATCCTTCAAGAACCGGGCATACCTTGGAACTTTCCGGATAACCTCAAGGAGAGGTATGCTAACTTCTACTTTCCGAAGTACGTCTAATTTTCCTTTTTCTCAATTTTTTTATCCTTTTTAACTAACCTCGATGGAAAAGATGGTGGCACGTCATAGGGGGATGGCGTCGTGTCGTCCATTTGTTCTTCATCATTCTCTTTCTAGGATCCTGTGTCAGCTGCTTCTTCTTCCCTTTAGAAGTTCGAAGTTTCTTCTTTCTTCTGGATCTTGCGCTTACTTCCTTTGAGTCTGGTTGTTCAACAATTGTACCACTTCGGAGGGTGATGGTGCTAACATTCTATATTGGATTCGGCTCAGTTTGTGATGATAGCCTCCTTTGTGACTCTAATCTCCCTACGGCTTGAGTCAGTTGGCTTATCTGTTTGTCTATCTCTTGGAAGTGGGCTTCAGTTCGAGTCTGGAATTTTTCTTGGGATACTGCTAACCTCTCGACAATCGATTCTAATGATGACTTCTGCAGTTGTTGTGGTGGTGGAGGTCTCGCTTGATAGCCTTGATTCGGTCTCGAGTTTTGAGCGTAACTGAAGTTCGGATGATCCCTCCATCATGGGTTGTATGTATTGCCGTAGGGATTATAAGGTCTTTGGGGAGGTCCCTGAAAATATTCGACTGCATTGACTTGAGCTGTTGCGTCATCTTGAATCAGTGGACAACCGTTTTTCGGATGATCAGGTAATGCACATATTCCACA